CAAATACTACTCTGTTCAAAAAATATTGGGAATGGTTTATTAAACTGCACACATGCAAGAGGGCATTGTCATCACTTTTTCATTGACATCTAGCAGCAATCTGTGTTATCTGGCTTCATTTGCAAATAAATAAATGCTTGTTTTGTGTGTAAAGGACTTTTACACTAGCGATTTTTCAGAATGTTGAGTATAATTGAACAAAGAACATACATTAAATTTTGTTTTTGTAATGGAATTACTGCTATAAAAACATTAAAAATATTGAAATCACCTTTGAACAAAAGTGATACAAGATATTGAATATCTTGTATCACTTTTGTTTTTGATAGACACTGGTCTATCAAAAACAAAAGTGATACAAGATGATTAAGGAAGGCAGAGAATGCATCAAAGATGAACCATATTCCTGTAGATATACTTCAACTGATAAACATGTTCAAGTCAGAAATTTGATGCTCAACAATCATCATTTAACAATTAAAGACAATATTGAATAAGTTCCAGTATCATTTGGATCTTGTCAAACAATTTTAAAAGATCATTTTAGCTTGTGGCACATTGCTTCTTGAGTCTCCTAAAAACATTGGATTTTTTGTAAAATCAACAAGTTCCAGTGGCCAAGGAAATGCTTTCTCTAGGTTAACCATTCTTAAAATGCATCATTACAGGTGATAAAACATAAATCTCCATTTTGATACTGAAACAGCTCAACAATCAAGTGAATGGTGTTTGAAAGGTGAAGCAAGACCAAAAAGATCACATCAAAGTTGTGTTGACTATTTCTTTGACTGTCGTGCATCTCAAATTCCTTCTGATAGGCCAAATTGTCAACAAAGAATATTATTTGAGAGTTTTGTATCATTTAAGTAAAGCAGTTCATAGAAAACCTCATCTGTGGTAAGAAAACTTGTGAATTTTTGCACTATAATGTATGTACCTTACCTATTCACGATGATCTTGTTGTTCGTGAATTTTTGGCTAAAAATTTAACAAATACAGTTCTGCAAGCTCCAGATTCATCTGATATAGTACCATGTAACTTTTTCCTATTTCCTCAACTAAAATTTCCATTTTGTGTTCACTGTTTTGAGTTGATTGATGCTATAAAACAAAATTCACTGAGTCCTAAAGTGGTTTTGTGAAAATTATAAAGCATATTTCAAGGATTGGAATATTGCTTGTGTATTTTTTTAACATTTGCATGAAATTGCAAGATGTAATCAGCATCTTTCTATTAAGATCCAAATATATTGAAAAAAATTTGATATAATGTCCTTTTTTCATAAATTCCTTAAAGATCACTATAAAGCAAGTCTACTATATACTGTATAATGTAGAATTTCTTTACTTATACATACATAGTTACAACATTGAAAAACTTTGTATAAAAAAGGAAAAATTTAATAGTTTTTTAGAAACTCTCAAATAATTCATCAGTTTATGCATTTAACTAAAGAATGAATGTTTTAATGCAATCAAAAAATTTAATATTTGTATATATTAATACAGTAATGTGTTTTAAATTATAAATAACTCCAAATCTTGTAAGAAGTTGAAAATACTTGAGAAGTTAATAAAAAAAACCTATTTAATTCGGGTAACAATTTTTATTTTAATAACTAAGAAAAATGTTTTCACTTACCACCACCAGCTATAGTGGCTTTTATAAGAGAATCCAACTCTTCGTCCCCACGAATTGCTAACTGAAGATGACGAGGAGTAATTCTCTTCACTTTCAGATCCTTACTCGCATTGCCTGCCAATTCTAAAACCTTTAAATATAAAAATTTTCCAATATTTAATTTTTCAACAAATACATTTATTTAATATAAACATTAAAATGGTAAAACATATTACATTTATTTACTTTGCTATTTTTGTTAAAATTATATTATTTTTTAATATAACATGTAAAAAAACAACTTTGCTAAATAAGTAACATAGCCTCAAAATTTAATGATATAAACTAGTAATAAGCAACCTTTTTTGGATGCAGGCCACAAGCAAACTTAGGCTTGTAATAGTCACATGCATTTTTCTTAAAAGTTGCAAGCTTTATTAAGCCTAGTGAGTACCAACATGATACATAAAAATATACTAGGTACTAAAATAATATATACTAGTGATATGCAAATTAATATTACAGTTGAACTCGATTAAAATGAACACAGATATAATGAGCAAAATGACAACTTTAATTTGCATACATTTTCTCATCGTTATAATGAGGGTACTTCACAGATATATCAAGCAAATTTTCAGTAGCTATGCAAAAACACAAGCATTCTTAATTGTTCAAGTAGCAAGAAATGCAATACCAAATTCTTGGAAGAGATAAAACTGAAAGGGTTACTTAGTTTTAACTACTGGATACTTAGTTTTACAATCTGCATCAATTACAGACCTATTTATCATTTAACTCACTTTTTGGAGACTGCCCCCTCTTTCTTGACTAATCAGTGGTGTAGCTATAAACTTTGCCACCAGTGGGTGCAAAATTTATAGCTACATTTGGGTGCAAACATAAACTTTGCTTTGCACCCAAAGTAGCCACCCACTTTCCCTTCTAATTATATCACTGCTCTTCACAGATACAAGTAAATATTGCTGGTCCCCTAATGCTTGGTATAACAGAGTTCAACTGTATATACAGTGAATGATTGGTTAATGAACATACAATGGTACCTCAGGATACGAACGCCCCAGCATACGAACTTTTCAAGATATGACATGAAATTCGAACATATTTTTGCTCCACGATACGAACAAAAACTCACCATACGACATTACATTAGTTCGCAGCGCCATTTTTTTATTCACTTCTGTTCATTGGTATCAGTCCGTGTGTTTGCTTCGTCGTGGAAGGATCTCACTCAATAAAGGAAATCTTGAGGTATTATTAGAAAGTGACTGATTTTATTGAAAAGAAACATTCCGAAAAGGTTCACATTGGCCGTATTGCTGCTCAGTTTAATGACATTTGCCTAAGTCATTTTAGAAACATTTTAAAAAGTAGGCAAAGCCAAACCTCTTTGGATAGATATTTTAGCAAGCGACCTCTGTCCAGTGAAAGTGCTGGTGGAAGTGAAGGAAAGAAAGCAAAAAGCAGTGAATAAAAAATTTAAAAAATATATATAACAGAAAAGTTAAAAAATTAGTGTTAAATTATTTTTAAGTTATTGTTACATTATGTTATGCAAGTTAAGTTTTAGTATCATTTCTCCCTTCTTCCTCTCCTCCACCACCAGTTTACACCTCCATTATCATCTATCCTCAAAGGTAAAGTGTAAATAAAATTATATTTTTTTTAATCAATTATTATTCTATTATGGTTATTTATACATTTACAACTACAAAATGCATTTTTCAGTGTTTTCCTTACTACAGTTATTATTATTTTTTAATGTACTACTTAGCTTTGAATGTGTTTTTTGTGTTGGAACAAATTATTTGGTTTTACATGTAATCATATAAGGAAAAATGATTCACCTTACGACATTTTCATGATACGATCTGTTTCGGAACGGATTAATTTTGTATCCTGAGGTACCACTAATCTGTTCCAAAACTTTGTTTGCTGTCTGAATTGTTCGTTAACCAATTATCTTTTTACCACTGGTTTTTATGGAAATTTGATTAATTCGTTCTGGAGATCCCAAAAAAATAAAAAATATATACTTTCTTACTACGTTTATTTATATGTAATAATAAAAATACATATATACACAGTCTTGCATTTTTATTAGTCATGTTTTTTCTGTTGGTGGGGATTAAAGAATGTCTAGTGTCGACTGCTTCTCTCTCTTCTTCAGGATTTTTCAGAAGTAATTAATAGCATTGTAATTGTAGAGATCCCCAAGCCTATTAACCTCAACCTGGTTTGGATGCCATTCTAAGACCGTCGTTCTGACATTTCTTCAAAAGATGGTTAATAGTAGATATCGGCATTAATCCTCTTTTTCAGAAGAAAACATATCTTGCTGAGTTTCTTGATGTTCTTCTGTCATCAGATCAGTTTCAGGTTCCATTATGAGCTCATCATTGTTCCAGTATGAGCTCTTCATTGTTCTTTATTTCTCAGATGTGATTTTTGTTACTCCTTTAGCTGCTTGAGTCTTCTTGATTATAAAGTAACTTTCTTAAATAAGATTGGACTGTGACCTACTGTAGACCTGTTCAAACCATACTGCCCAGCAACATCAGACATCTGCCCACTTCTTGCTATCATACTCTTACCTTTTGAAAATAAAAACTGACACAAAACTTAACGAGTGCCCACCCGACAATCTTGCAAATATTACAAAAGAATTGTTTGTCAGAAAAATAAAAGGCTGGAATTACAAGGGAGAGTTTAAAACTTTAGAGGAATACTATCTGATCTGTATATATCGGGTTAAGCATCAATGCTGACATCTCCGCACTCCGAAAAGTTTCAAATTGTTACCTGAAGACAAGGGAAGACCAATCAGTATTCATTATTTTATGTCGCTTCTTCTTGTATTTGTTATCCCAACATGTGTTCATTGTTTGAACATAAAAATCTTTCGCAAAAGTGTTCATTATCCAATTTGTTCGTTAACAGATCACCCACTGTAGTTTATTATTGTTTTTCACTGGTCAAGTTTAGTTTCAATATCAACTTAAGGTTGTGTAAAGACAGAAAACAGGAAAATAAAATCACATTGCCAAAGCCTTAGGGACTGCAAATTAAAACCTTGCAGGCTACATTCAGTCTACAAGTTGCTTATGACTAATATAAACAATCTTCTATTATTTTGTGACAGTGTTAAGATACTAATCTAACATTTAGGCTTTGTTTAAATTAGTGGTGCACAAACTATAGTCCTTGGACCAATCAAGCTCTTGAACATATTTGACACATCATTTATAGATGATAGAAATAAGCTTACTTTTATATGAATATCCTTACATAAATTTGTTAAGTGTTTAATCTGAAGATAAGATGATTCTTAAAAAATATTTAATAAATCAGTTTATTCCTTGTGTAGTATATAGCATTTCTTTGAATTTCGAATATTTGATAAAATATAACAAAAAAATCAGATATGTATATTCAGATGATAAATTAGCTTAAATTAACAATAAATAATAAGAAAACACATGGGATAACTTATGCTAATCAAAGTAATATACTTGATACATATTTAATTAAATACAAAATAGATGAGAGATTCGATTTATGGATAAGATAAAATATCTACAAGATTGTATTTGATAACAACATTACTTGTATTTCCTATATAGATAATTTTATGTAAATCAATATCTAGAGTTACAGGAATTATAAAGCTATTTTGGTATTTTTTAAAACAATAGAGGAGTGGGGGTAGAAGTGCACAGTGGGGATATAATTAGCTGTATAAATGTTAGGTTGGCATTACTGAGTTATGATAACTTGAAACCGTGTCATATTTCTATTGTTGTTTCTAACACACAATGCAGTGTAATTTAGCGCCCACTTGGCTTCCTTTCATCTTTATTTCAGTTGATATGCTTATACATTCTGCATTTCGGGCTTAATGCACCCCTCTTCAGTAAACTAAAATTGTTAAAACAAAAGATTTTTATATACAATACATTTAAAACCTTTTACATAATAAACTTTAAAAAAGATATACGAATTGATCATCTTACAGGCATACCTTTTTTTAACTTGGATTCTGTAAACTGTATGATGTTTCACACTTATGTAACACGTATGTAACTTACATTCATACACTTGCATATCTACTTTAACAATTATATAACATTAACTATTTATTATGACAATATAATTTCTTATATTCACTGTTGACATACCTGGAATAATCCACTTTGTTCTTTTCTTGTTGAATCAAAAGGTATACTGTTAACACTACTAGCACAGCATAATTTATATCCTATTAAAAATTTTTAATGTTTCTTCTGAATTATTATTTTTATCACGTTATAAAGATAAATTCTATATATTTAAATAAGCCAATGTAGTTATTCAATCTTTAAATTATTGAAATTATTTCTTCATTATCTGTTGTATTCTTCTGTCTGCTCGTTATGTTTCTTACACGGTGATGCTCATTAACATAATCTTCCATGGAGGTCGTCAATATGAAATTGTATTCTATTTACTAGGGTTATTGTTAAACTATTAAAGGCTATTATTTAAGATGTATTAAATTTCATATTTTATTTTAACCATTTTTCATAATATTTTTAGCCAATTTTCATTTATTTTTAGACTTGGATATTTATTTATATTATTTTGGCTTTTCAAGATTTCCACACTTTCTTTAAATTTCCTATTATATGTTTCTGGTTCTTTATGTAGAATTTTTATATTATTTTGGTCAATGTTGCAATTGTTTATTGTACAATGATCAAGAAATGCTGAGTTAAGTCTACCTCATACAGTTTACAGAATCTAAGTTAAAGAAAAAGGTATGCATGTAAGATGATCAATTAGTATATCTTTTGTAAAGTTTATTATGTAAAAGGTTTTAAATGTAATGTATATAAAAATCTTTTGTTTTAACAATTTTAGTTGACTGAGAAGGGGCGTATTAGGCCAAAACGCAGAATGTATACGTGTATCAACTGAAATAAAGATGAAAGGAATCCAAATGATTGCTAAATTACACTGCATTGTGTGTTAGAAACAAAAATTCTGAGTTTATAGGTTCTCTTGCTGAATTGTTGAAGACTCAATAATAACCAATTTGTCATGAATAGTTTTGAAATCATGAGGTAAAATTCATTTATCACCTTTGTGATA